GAGGTCTTCCTCTTCCTCTGCTTCCCCCGGCGGTTACTGCGTCGAATACTTTCAGAGCTGGAGCGTTTTCCTCCATCCGGACAACATGACCTAGCCAGCGTAGCCGCGTTGACATGCTTGGTACAAAAGGAGCCTATTTTAAAAGCGATGATAAAGATTTGTACTAAATTAGTTTTTTCCGGCTTAAATATTATCAGATGGTAGATTGATTGAGGAATTCTAAAATATATTAAAGAACAAAAAAAAAACGGAGGAGCTCGTAGATGGGTCTTGATAGGAACTCTGCAACACGTACAAGACGCCATTAAGTAAAAGTATATAAAATGCCATAACTAAACACTAGGGGTATTCAGACCGAACCTGTTAAAATAATTAATTGTGTACATACTTTTTTGCTCTACCTCAGTAGTGAGTGTAAATTTTGTTCCAAACCAGCTGATTAAATTTTTATTAAATACTTACTTTTGAAAAATTTGTCAAAAACTATTTTGTAGTGGACACCAAATAAATTTTTCGCAATGAATCAAGTAAACTTTTGAGGCTAGAACGCAAGCCAAACAAACGAGTGATCTTACTGATGTTAACAAGCAACGAAAAAACTATCACGCTTGCCAGTCTAGTACTTCGTTACTCAGTAAAACGGTAATCTGTTAATTTTACAAAAACAAAACGCACGTAAAAATCTACCGAGTAGCGACGAACGAATTAGCAAAGCTGGTCTGAATACTCCTGCTAAATTAAGGTAAAGAACTGTAATTTAGTACGGAGTATCGCAGTAACATGAGACATCCGTAGCTAATTGACCGCTTGTTAAGCTCCAACTGACTCTTTCCTTTTGTGTGTAAAAACCAAGAAGCAATTAACGGAAAAAACTTTGCACAAATAATGTCTTTAAAATATGCGCAACTTTTGATCAAAAATTGTTCAAGTCCTTATGTACCGAATATGAGGGCTCCACTGTCTATAGTTGACTTTTGACCAAACATTTCGAATAATGTATGGGATATACAATTGAAATTCAGAGAACCTTTGGTATGGCCTAAAATTGGCTTTACTTTTAATTGATAAATATCTGACGGGATTACAATTAAGGATGCAGGAGTATGATTTACGAAACAGTTTATTCGATTATTAAATTAGAGGGAACTAGGTAATTTAGTCCGAGTAGGATAGACTGAAAAGTTTTAAACGTTTATAGATAAGAACAACTCTTGCCTTTAAATATGACTTTTCAATACTAGTATCGAGGATAAGTAGACGATCATAGTCTTTTTGAGATTTTAATAGATACAAAGTTTTCTACATGGTTCTTCGGTATAAAGCATAGAGATTGAAAGTTCAGTAGGCACAAAGAAAAGGTTAAATAGCTCATCGACTTTCATTTCTCCAATCTCTTACTAAATCCTGAACTTTTACTTTCATTCCTTAACTACTAGAAAAAGGAGGGAAGATACAGAATTTATTTAATCTTAGTTACTACGCAAGTTCCAGTATTCGGTTCTTACTATGTCGACCCAAAAGGGCCAGCTTAAATTGAATTATTGGAATTGTAAGAATATCGAGACATATTAGACACTTTAAAATCACGGCATTTTCCTAAAGTTGAACCAATCATGATGTTTGTGTAAATTCAATCAGAGTTTCTTAATGAAATCACTGTCCAGTGCGGATGGTGAGCACAGAAACTAACTAACTAATTCCCTAAAAACAACAAACACACCTCTGAAAGGTAAACGGTCGAGTAAACGATGGAAAAGTGGAAAACTTGATGAGATAGGAAAATGGTAGCATAAAGCACTAAACACCTAAAACATTGTAAATAAACATTGGGAGTGTTTATTAAGTGCCAAGTTCACAAAACCAATAATTTGAGTGCTGACTATGAGCAGCAACACCAGCTAAGGAGACTAGCCGACCAAACGCCAACAAGAAGAGCGCAATATATTTGATATTGTAATGCGGCAAAAGTAAAGTAAGCTACAACTGCAAATTAGGTAACAAAAACAAGCCAAGCGAAGTCTACAAAAACAACAAGCTGCGCAAGCCAGACGGCTGGATAGTCAAACTGCCGGTTGCCGCCTCAGCGTTGAGTGCAGCGGCAGCGGCAACGGCAATGGCAACCAAAACAATAACAAATACAATAATAATTGTTGATGATTTGCCGGTGTTGGTAGAAGGCAGGGTGCCAACAACAAAAACAAACCGCACACAAGTGACAACACCACACATATTGGCAGCAAGCAGCAAGCAGCTTGAACGGCAGCATCAACGGCAAAGCGATCGTCAATGAACGAAGAAATTTCGCCGCCACCGTTGTTGCTGCTGCTGCTGTTCGGCTGCACGTCTGCATGGTGGTGGCGAGTGTGTGTGTGTGGCTGCTGCTGCGGCTGCTGCTGCGGTGCGCAAGCGCACATGCGAAGTGTTTCGCTATGTGAAAGCAGGTGCATTTACCATTCTGCGGTTACCCACGACCACGATCAGACGCGCTCAAAAACGACGTCGCGAAAAAGCATTTCGAATTCTTAACCAACACTTGACAAAATAACGAGTACTTTCGAAAACGTTCAAACAATTTTGAAATACTTATAAATAGTTTTGAAATATCTCAAGCTCCGGTATATGCGTATAAATGAAAAAGCGATCACTTCTTAGCGAAATAATATAATGACAAATTGCTCAGTTTGGCGAAACACGATTCGTTGAAAGTGCAAGGATAATGCAATATTGATTGCTGGCGCAAGTAAAAAGTGATTTGAAAAAGGTGTTAAACGTTTGTGACTCGCAATTTATGCTACTAACATATTTGTTTAAGGACATACAGTGCATGCTAAAACTTGGCAATTTAAGATTTTAAGGCGTTCGTGAAAGTTGGGCAAAAAACAAAAAAATTATGTATGAGAAAGTAAATAATATTAACTAAAATTAAAAATAAAGACACGTATAAATTTAAAAA